TTGAAAGAGCACAGCAGCCTGGCTGCCTGAGTTTAAATCTCAGCTCTCCTATTTACTAGGAGTGTGAGCTTGGACAAGTTACTTAACCTCTGTGTTTTAGCTTCTTTATTTCTAAAGTGAAGATAATAACAGTGCTTATCTCAAAGACTTAAGAAGATTACGTGACTTCATGCTTATAAAATGCTTATCAGGTAGTATGCCATTATAGTTTTTATACTATGTTATCCTATGTGTTCTTATTGACAAGAATAATGCTTCAACTAAGCAGGTACACAGCAGATATTTGTTGAATAAGTGAATAAATGAGGGTAGGAGGGCATGATGCCTCTTTCTAATAGATTATCCACTCAAAGAATGGGACTATCCCCCACCCATAGCTTTCTCACAGCAAGTTCCAGTGAGGTTTATAATAGGCAATCAATAAATATTTGCAGAGCTTTATAAATATTAATCCAGTCCAGTGGCTGGCAGATTGAGAACAATAAAAATACACTGTGCAATGAATTAGGTTCAGATCAAATAAATGGTCATGCAGGATTTTAGTTTAAGGTTGCAAGACGTATTTCCCTTTTGTTCTAAAGCTCCCTGTGGGGAGGATTGTTTAATGTGTTTGGTCATTTTTACGCAGACCCCAGCACTGCTCCAATCACACAGAGGAAATCGACAGCACAGGTCACAGTGCAGCTGGTGGGGGGAGCCACTGGGGTCACCTGGAGCGGAGCTTTGGTGCTGAGATTCTGTGGGGCCAAAAGTGGAATTCAGACTCCAGACCCAGCTGCTACTGGGAAAGGTGTGGAAAGCCGGGCTGCAGCTCTGTGCTAGATATGGGAGATGAAGACTCTGAACCCCAAAGGAAAACTTCCTCCAAGCTGGGGCTTGGGCTGGCTAGTGGATCAACTATGGACGGATTAAAATAAGAAAAGGCCCTTTTGGCAGACCAATGGGGCAGGTATGGAGCTAATTCACAGTCTAGCAGACAAGCATGCTCATGTCCGCGGGCACACCGCAAGTAAGGCAGGGACCTGTTTATTTGGCTAGAAATGCTTACACTGGCCTCTTCCCTCCACCCCTGCTTTGTTGCTCAAATTTCCTCATTTTGTGTTGGAAAGGTTTTTTTTTTCCCCTCCCCTTGGCTTTTTAAAGTAGTATCAGTGGAGCAACTAATGAGGCGGCGGAAAGCAAGCTGGTCCGTTCAGGGTTGCTAATGACTCCATTCCCGGGAGCCTAATCAAAGATTTGTACATTTAATTGCTGTCAAGTCAGCTCCAACCACCTGCCATTTCTACAGCACCTGAGCTCCCAGCTCTGTAGTCCCTGATTCTGAATGAATCCATCACCATTTCTAAAGGCCGGAAAGCCAGGCTGCTGGGCAACCTTAAATCCAGTGGTCCGGGAAGGCAGAGACCAAGGGGCCTACCTATGAGGCCTCACTCAGCTGATGGGGTTGACCCTGGAGGGATACCAGTCTCTGTTTCTCTGGGGACAAAAGGGACAGGTGTGATAAAGGTGGGGGTGTAGATGGAAGAGAGGAGGAAAGGATACCTCATTTGGAATCTGTGGCTACTTTTCTCTGCAAAGATGGCTCAGTTTCCAACTCCAGCGTGGGTTGTGCCATTCGGCAGTGTGGGATGCTGGCCAGTTAGAATGGCACTCATTTTACTGTCATTCTGTCATTCCCTCGTCAATGGTGGAGTTGTCCTCTGGGCCCTTTTGGAGATTGGGGACCAAAAAAAGCAGTTTATCTGGACCTGAACTTAATCTAATGGTAAAAGAGTTTAGGTAACTTATGGTGGTGGTGGTGGGGTAAATCAGCAAGGTAAGAAAATGATGTTTTACCATTGTCCTAATTGCAGTAAAAATGATCTAAATTCATATTGAATTGTAACCTTATCCTAGTTACCTGTTATAGGTACATCAGATGTACCTATTAGATCTGATCTTCCAAGATCAGTCTCTAGAGCAATTTTTCTCAAGCTTGAATGCACATCAAAAATCACCCAGAGGGTTTATTAAGTCCCGTTCCTGTGTCCCCACTCCAGGACGCCTGCTTTGGTGGGTCTGAGGTGGGGCCTGATGATTTGCAAGTCTAACAAGTTTCTGGATGCTGTCAATCCCCTCCCCTCCAGCTGGAGGGAATGATCTGGAGGATGCTTGGAAATGCCCAGTTTGCTGTTGACAGGGGGTGAGATGACATTTACCAAAAACTCCACCATTGTCTGCCTGGGACTAACTGCATTGGCCATGGGGAAGACAGACTGGCCCTGGAACTTAGGGGAAGGAGAAGAGATGACTCCCTCTGAGGCCACATATCATGTGTAACAGACACACACACCACAGTCTGAGTCAGAAGTTGGGCAGTTTAACCCCTGGACAAATCCCTGAAACTCTTTGGATGGAATCCATTTGGGAATTAATGGTCCTCCAGGGTGACCAATCACAACAATCTGCCCACGACCCATGGCTCCCCGCACAAAAATCTGAGAATGCTGAGCAAACAAGGACACGGCTTACCTATCTCTCCCGCATGAAGGGCACATTAACTCAGATTTACAAATAAAATAAAAGTAAATATTGCCACATTCTTTTTCTATACCCTTGCCAAGAAAACCAAAACAACAACAACAACAACAAAAAACAAAGCGAACAACCAAATGAAAGGGAGAACTAAGGCATTTAGGTTTGTATCTGCATTCATTCTCCTCAATTCACTATCGCTAAGTCCTTGCTCTTCGGAACTTTGGAACACAAAGTATTTCTCATTACTTGTTTACAAGGAGGAGACTTCTTTTTAAGAAATTTGCTAAACTTCAAGTAATTTATAAAATAAATTAGAAGAGACAAATATCTCTGCCATTCTACAGAAACCTATAGCTTTCCATTGGCCAGAACCTGAATTTGTAGAGGATCAACCAGTTGGTTTGATGAAGATATTTCAGTGACCAGCTGTGTTCTCAAGCTTTCTGTTAACTGTTGTTTTCTTGCATTTATGTCTTCCTCCCCTCTGCATAGTTGCCACCTCATTCCAGATAAGTGCACAGTTACTTTGATTTCCTCCTTATTGCTTAGTCTGTTTATATCAGGGGACCCTGGAAAGTGTGCAAGATAACCTTACTAGAAAATAAATTAATTCTACAGAGAAAACACCATATGATTTGCCAATCAGGTGGGAAAATATTATCAATTGTTCTTCATTTACTGCCCTAAATCTTTCCCCAGAGTGCTTGAAATCACAGAAAAAAAAAGAAATATTTGCTCTTTATTAACCTTTGGAATTTAGATCAGAATGCATCCATGACCTGGGAAGATAAAACAAAAGAATAAGTACTATTTGTTTGACAAGACTGAGACAGCAAGTATATGTGTGTAAGTATATATATTTTCATGGAAAAATGAGATCAGCAGCCCGCCTGATGGAAAATAAGTGTTTTCTAGTTAGGGTTGGGAATTCCTCAGGAGCAAAAAATGCCTTTAAGAGGAGAATTTTAATTCAGGATCCCCCCAAGCGATAATGTGATAATAGTGTAGTGCCCATTGTCATTCTCCCAACACGTGCGGGAAGCACCATTCTGTGGGAAGATCCTTCCCCAATCAGAGCACCTTCCATCCCCTGCGCTGCTTTCAGTGCCCTACTTTTATGCCACAATCATGCTGTGCCCTGTGTAAAATGACCATCGGGTCATAGGTGTATGGGATCATCTCCCAACTTGACTGTGAAGACTTTAAGGCCAGGCTATAGGATACAGTCAGGCTGAGTACCTCACTGTCTCATGCAGAGCCTGGTACTTAGTAAATTCTCAATAAATATTTGTTGCCCGAATGACTAGCTGTTACATTTGAAGCAATTTCAACAATTCTAAGCAGAATTCTAATTTCTGTGAAATTTATTGTGAATGCTGCAAATAGCATTTGGCCAAGTAAAGAGATCCTTAATGTTTTGTCTTATTTTGTGTATCTTAGGTACAGTCATGTTCAAAGGTTAAATTGACTGCTTCCTGAGAGACAGGATTAAAGATGAAATGTCAGAATGGCAAGTGGATTGCTCCACTTCACTCTGAGTTCATGCACTTCTCTCCCTTTGGCCCTGTAAAAAATCTAGAGCTCTGGAAAATAAGCTCATCAGCAAGCTCATCCTTTTCACCACCTTATTTCTCTTTCTTTTTTCCATGTAAGTTGGAAGACTGCCTTTACCTCCGCCTTAGGAGAAGTCTGGCTCCAAGCACCATTTGTTCACACTCTGGACATCTTGCCAGCGGTCATGCGGAACGGAGTGCCACTGTGAGACAGGTCTTCGCTCAGCTTAGCCTCACACCCACACTCACACCCACACCCACTGCATCTTCACTAATGCCTCCCAATCATTCAGGTCAATAGTGGAAGAAATGGAGAATGTTCTCCTTTGGGAAGTTTGACTTTTACAAGTGTGACTCACTTTATCCAACAGGTGTGGTTCCTAAGAATGACTTGAAAAAAATCATGCTTTTCGAAATCTAGTCTGATCTAAAATGTAAGAGAAAAAGCTGACCAGTAGTGGAGGTGTCTTTGAATACTTTCCAAATACTCTCATTGCTACTGGAATATCAAGCCATGACTGGGTTTGTGCCAGCAAGACGCATGGGAATTGCTAACAATTGCACTAAGGTGCAGAGCTATTAATATGCTTAAAGTTCTCTGGGGAGTCAGGCTTGAGAGCTTCAGCTTCTTGTCTGTAATACACTGTTGACTTACCTCACTGGTGCCTGCTGCCTCCCTCTCCTTCCCCTACATAGAAAGGGAAGACAGAACTTTCAAAGTTTTGTTTACTTCAGTCCTTCTTTCCAAAGATGTGAGCCTCTTGCTAAAGTGTGGTGTAGAAAGTTAAGATTTGTGCAAAGATCAGCATATCTTTGTGTGTTTGTGTGTTTGTGTGTGTATGTGTGTGTGTGTGTGTGTGTGGTACAATCACCAGAGTATAGCGAAGAAAATGTAGAATTAAGGTACTTGTGAATTTTCTTCTGTTTCAGACACACAGCTCAACTGGGAAGGTGGACTGAGTGTGATATGTGATAGAACACATGCCATGTCCCATCCCTTGCATTCTGTCCACATCCACTAACCCTGAATTCTATGTTGCTGTGCCTCAGTTTCTCCTGCAGGCACTATGGAACCTTGCAAGGTCTTCAAACAGGTGTGTGTTACAAGGGTGTCATACGTTTTGTGTGATGATTCCAGTACTATACAGAACTCTCTTTCAGTTAGGCAGTGAGCCAGAGAGAGAGCTGAGAGTCTAGTCAAGATATGTAGTTTATCAGTGGTCATTACAAGAATTTTCCTGGCTATAAACTTCCTCATTCTGACTCTTCTGGTCTGAAAGTTTCCAAGGCTGTTCCTATGCCAACCAAAAACATGACACAATCTCTGTTTCTTGTGCAGCATAGCAGGGGGATCTACAGTACCAGGAAGATGTGTGAGAGGTTTGATTTACTGCCTATTGTTTTGTGTGGGAGGGTCTAGTGGTTCAAACCTAACTACAGAACTCTATGATGGCCTGAAATGCTTCTTAAGATGCGCAGCAGCCATGTGTCTCATGGTCTCACTGAGGGCGTGTGCCAATCACACACTCCCAGATACCAAGCTGATCCAGGAAACACCAGCTAGACACTCCCAGGACTGCAAACATGCAGATAGTTTCAGTTGCATAGTCCAAATACCCAAATGCTCCCCTGGTACATCCCACTGTGAATTATATGCTCAATTTTATGTCATCTGCCAGATTCTTCCAGAAAATATCCTGATACTTGCTTTATATGTTTCCCGGAAATTCACCCCAAAGTGCCTATCTTTCCAGGGAAAGACCAGCTTTGGACTAAACCCAAAGATTCAGAGCTTCAGTAGCATTAAGATACCACCACCAGGACCACCAAACAAAAAAGGGTAAATTGAATATTATTGGTCAGCTCTATAATTCAGCATGTAAGTTCTCTGGCCAAGTCTTATCTCTGACCTCAGCTGATTCATTTGCAAAACAAGGATGATGGACGATGTCCTTTCTTGCAAAGTTCTTGGGAGGAGTCAATGAAATGCTGTATAGAACACCTGGAAAATATATGCATGTCACACTGTGCATTTGCCCATAGATAACTCAGACATCTGGCCTTTGTCCTAGAGGGGACACTGTACTGAAAGAGGCATATGCAAGCTGCTGAGCTCATTTTTCACCCCAGCTATCCATTGCCATCCAAGTCTATGCTGTCAGCAAGTTCTAGAAGTCAAGTTTGGGATGTTGTTCTCATAAGGGCCCTAGGTGGCCTCTGGGAACGGCCATCAGCTTGTTCTGCTGGGAGATGATGCCCAACCCTGACCCCCACTTAGTTATCAATTCAGTCATTCTCAGTTGAAAACCGTTACCTGAATATTAATAAGGGTTAAGATGAGTATAATCTCAGTCATCTTTTGCCCAAAATTATTTTTAGTCAGGCTTATTCAGATATCATTTACATATACTAAAATTTACTCTTCTTAGTGTACAGATCTATGAGTTTTGAAAACACACTTTTTTGTGTGATCATCAATATGGTCAACACACAGTACAATTCCATCACCTGCTGGAACTCCCTTGTGTCTTTTTTGGGCAAGCGTTTTAACTCTCTTGTTCTAGCCTCTGGCAACCTTTAACAGGTTTTCTGTTCCTATCTTTTCCAGAACATTCTATAAATGCAATAGTTTGCTATGTGGGCTTTGGTCTGTGTTCTCAATTTGAGATTGATCTACATTATTATGTCAATCAGCCATTTGCTCGTATTTATTTCTTAGTAGTGTTCCACTGCATGAATGTAGGACAGTTGGGGTGCCCATGCCCCAGTTGAGGAAGATTGAGATTGTTCTCACTTTTTGATGATCATAAACAAAGCTATAAAAAGTGTCTTGTGGATACATAGACACATTTTTATTAGACATTTTGTTTTAAGATACTTATTAAACTCTAGTTTTAGGTGAATGCTCAGAGACTGAAAGACTTAGGGGACCCCTGGGAAGAGCAGAGAGAATATTTCCTCAGTCAGTCATCAGTCATGCCCAGACCTGTCAGTTAAACACGGACTCGTTGCAGCAAGAGGCTGTTATTATTTTCACTGAGGACTTTTGTCGAGCAGAGATTAAAACTAACTCCATCTCCCTGAGCCTCTGGGGAAGAACATAAGTACATGCTGGCAACCATCAATTTAGTTGGCCTAAGGTAAATAGTATTTCCATGGATTCTGGCAATTCCCAGAGGAGATCGCTTGTGTGTGCTGGATGAATTCTTCCAATCATTGGTAACTTTTTTAATAGGTAAGGAAGAATATGGATTTCCTAATAAATTTCTCCAGTCATTCAGCTTGAATAAGCTCCCTTTCCTGGCTAAATTTGGTGAAGAGTTATCCATGTTTTATGCACAGCATTCCAAGGTAATTCTTAATCTCTCATTACAGATTTTAGACTCCTTACCAAGTCAACCAACATTTTCTTGTACCCATCAAAAAGACGAGTTAGGGAGGGGTGATAGCTATACTAATGAGAAAGTTCAGCTACCCTCAGAATCTCGCTGAATCCCTTCCCTGTTCCACCTTATTACCCTTGGGCTTTTAGAGTGTCTAAACCCTCACCACTAAATGGTTCTCATTCACCCAGAGTACATTTATTGTGTGCTTCCCTGGTGTCAAGTCCTTGGATGAAGGTGGGTGCTCACAGAGATGAATGTACCAAAGGAAAACCTGACTTTTATCATGAGGGGCTGAATTAATTTGAATGAACTAGGGCTATGATTATCTTTGAACAATTTTTTAGGAAGAGGTGAGACTGTAGAAGAACGTGTAGCTAAAGGATAGGGCCATGTATTTATAATAATCTGAGACTCTACTATTTTAATGCTATGTCTAGAATATTTCAGTATTATTTGTGCAATCTGGCCTAATGTAAAATGTAATTTCAGTGAGGAAATATGATTGAGTTCGAATGACCAACTTACAGCCTGGAATGAAACCCATGAATAATTTGAAGGGCATTTTGTCAGTGGCTAATTTACCAAATTATTGGCTCTGGGTTCATTGGTACCCATGTTGGAAGGCATCAGATCAACCAAGGGTCAAGTTTCATCAGTATCACTGATGTGTATTGGGACCTTAAGAATACTAATAATAGTAAAAAGAATAGTAACGATAGTGACAAGAACTAACTATAATGAGCATAGTGAGTGTTGGAGGGAGCCCCAGTTCTAACATCTTTCTCCTTCTACCCATCAAAATAGGGGTAAGCAGGAAGACAAACCATGACTAAACTCAAGTTTTTTCCTCTAACCTTCTTATCTAAATGTTGTTTGCAGTTGGCACCATTACCTGAAAATGTGGCTAATTAATAAATTAAAAATACATAAAAATTATTAATACATAATGATTATAACTAATAAAACCAAATTAACAATGTTGTGGAGATCGTACAAGATGATGCAGGAATTTAACCCAGTGTCGGCTTAGCATCTACACAACTACAAACAAATTACATCAGAGTGAGCATAACACTTATTTTCTGAAATATAAAGATCAGCAAGCCAAGAGTTCCACTGGGGTCTTTCAGCTTTCAAGAAAGCAAAGCTCTGTGTCTCCCGTGTTGGCGTGTGAGAATGTGCTAAGCAAGGACCCCTGGAAAGTGGTTAGCAAATGGATCTCCCACCAACTCATAGAACAAAGCCCAAGTAGACCTTATAAAACCAGACTAGGGACTGAGGCATCTACCCTCCTCCTCCATTGCCTTCCCCTGCCTCTAATTTGTTCTCTCTTCCTGCAGGGTCTCTGTCACTCTTCATTCTATGTATCTGTGCATGAGCACATTTCTTTCTGATAACTGACTTTCTTTGCTTCCTCTTAGGTGTGTAAATGAATGAAAGGTTGCCCCCGCTTTACTGAGTGTATGTTGTCATTCCAGGGCCCACCACCATCTGACTGCATTCTCCATGGCTCTTAAATCAATGTCGAGAAGGAGAGGCTCTGGTGATCTAGACCTCAGGAGGAGCTGAGATGCCTAACAACCATCTAATCAGTTCTGGACCCAAGGAAGGAACCTTTGTAGGCATCAGGGAAGGTGGACAGAAACATTCAAGAGGAGAAAGTACATGTACTCTGCTGGTTTAGAATGAGACATGGAGCACAGCAATTCATGAGAAAAAGTTAGGTGGGTGGAGTTTAACTGAAATATAGGCCAATGTATGACAAATAAATTACTTAAGTCACAGCTGTACACCAAACACATTATTTCCTAAGGGTCAGACGTATGTGGGATATTTTGTACAGGTCTAGAACTCATCCACGAAGGCTACCAGGAAAATAAACTATCTGCCAAATATATCTTATGAAGAATAACTGAAGAATGTTAAGCTAAGGGAACAAAGTATTTCAGGATAGTGTTTAAAATTCAAGGTAGGACTAGCTGTCCATGAATTTTAATGGCTCTGTTGTGGGAAGAGCCGGTCAGTCTTTCCCTTCTTCCCTCCCTTTTTCCCTCCCCGCTCCTTTTCTTCTTTCCTTCCTTCCTTCTCTTGTGCAACAAACACATCAGTGGAGGTATCCTATAAGCACTGAGGGGACTCCTGCTCCCTGACAGTTGCACTCTACATTCTTCTGGAGCTCCAAACATGGATGATTTTGTGGGGTTGTGACCCAGTGGAGAGGTAAATATTTAAGTAAATGTCACTGGAAGCAAGAGTTATCAGGATTGTAGTGGGCAGAAGGCTCAGCAGGTATAAGGGGCCGGGAGGCACTCGGAGGAGGATGGGATACAGAGAAAAACCTTGAAGGATGAGTGGAATTTCATTAGGTAGACCAAGGGACAAGTCCCTCAGAGAAGGTAATAATATTTATGAAAAGGCAGGGATAAGAGTTACTATTGCTTATTAACTATAAGCATTGCAAGGACTGAACTGAAACATTACCTCTTTCTCTTCCTTCCTGGCCACCATGAAGAGAGAAGTTTCCTCTACCACATCCTCCAGCCGATGTGCTGCCTCACCACAGGCCCAGAAGCAAAAGGGCCAAGTGACTATGGACTGAAACCTCCAGCACTGAACCAATATAAACATTTCCTCCTTTTAATTTCATTACCTTAGGTATTCTGTTACGTAACAGGAAGCTGCCTAGCACAAATATGTATTGGGAAGAGTGTTAGGAGCTCTGCCACATACAACTGAGGAGTTAAGCCAGAGCCTGCCTGTGAGGGTGGAGGCTCATCTTCTAGTGCTGCCCTAGGGCTTCACCACAGAGCTTTAGAAAATAAAATCTTCATTCAATGTGGATATTGAACCATTAATGGGTGAGATTAAAGGCAGAGTAATCAGTTATTGGCTATTGCATTAATCCAAGAAAAAAGCAATAAAGGCCTTGGAGGGAGAGAGAGAGAGAGGGAGGGATGAGGCGAGGGAGGGATGAGGTGAGGGAGGGAGGGAGGGAAGCGGGAAGAGAAAAGGCAAGAGATCTAAAAGGCTACTTTATAGGAAGTTAGATTCATCTGGACTTGGCAACCCACTGAGTGGAAAAAAGGGCCCAGTTTCTAAGTGGTTGATTAGTGTCTCTATCAGTTAGAATGGAAGACATAAACTAAGGAGCTAGTTTAAAGAAAAACACAAGCTTACTTTCTATTTGCTATGGAAATTACTAGGAATACATTCTGGCTTGATATAAGGAAAATTGGATCAACAGTTAGATCGGTACAGAAAGGAGTTTCCCATCATGAGGAGCATTCAAGCAGACATTTGTGTAACCATCTGTCAGTTTGCAAAAGAGGCAGTTCTTCCATTCGGTTAGGACCCAGAGTAAACAACCTTTGAAATCTCTTCCAACTTTAAAATACTATGATGCTACAACAGAAGAAAAGGCTATTTATTTCATACATAGGTAATGTCTCCTGGCAGGTTTTAAATACCACTATGACATATAGCATGAGATAAAAACAAGTAGAAAAAAGAGTAAGTGCATACTTTTTATGTGTATGTTGATAATTGTGTATTATTTTATATACATTTTTATGTGAGGCTGTTAATATCTGGAACATTAGATAGACTTTTACAAATAAACATTCAGTATTTGATGTAGTTGACAATGTCTGAGTCTCTGACATCGCCAGCTCCATGTACCCGAGTGTAAATATGTGGTTCTCTTTGTGTAAATAGAAAGAAAGGGACCCTGACTTGTAGTTACAGGATAGCTACTTTTCGGTTAGTGCAGTATCTATTCTATTGCTGCAGAGCAGGCATTTATGAATCTTTTGCAAAGCAATGATTCTGAGGAGAGTTAAATATCATTCTAAGCATAACATCAGTATGTAAACAGATTGATGAATTGCTAGATTGCTAGGATTTAAACCATATGAAACTGCAAATAGTGCTCCGAGGAACTGAGGATAATTTTAGCATTTCATGAAAACTGAGGATGAGATAGAGCAACACTATCAGTTGATTAAACTTCCCAGTGCTATTCTGGTTTGGCTCTCAAGGCTGTATGGGACAATTAGCAATCCGAACATTAAAAATATAGCGTCATAGATGCCTTCTCTCCTAGTGCAGCATTAACAGATGCTATGGGTGTTGCTGCTAGAGAAGCCAGTGGGGACAGCCTGGGGAGAGGTTGTTACCTGAGAGACCAGCTTTGGGAAAGGCTCCCCAACTTCTGTATGGATGCGATTAAGATTACAAAGCATTCTGCAGAGGTCCACGCCACAAGCAACGGTTCAGAGTCTCCGTGGGTACAAGGTTAGAATGCAGGCTTTGTGTCATTTAATTCTGCACTCTTTTTATGAAGTGATATTAGCTTCACATGCTTAATCCAGTGATAGTGTAATATGTTCTACAGCTTGCAGTAATAAAGAAAGATTATCTTTTCCTGTCTTATCTAAGTAGATGCTTCTTTTTTAGAAGAAGCACTGGGAACAACTAGAATTAAGTGGAGGGGACCTGAGGGCTCCTGGGAGAAATGTAAGGAATTTTAACGCTAAGTCTATGCAGTCAGAGTGAAGCAGAGAACTAGGCAATGTTCTGCTGAATTTGATCTCCCCAGGGAGCCAATATGGAAAACTGTCTAAACCCTCTCTCAGTTTGGGCTCCTCCATTCTGACCAGGATGACCAAAGAAGAAACAACATTTGGTGAAGCACTCGGAGGGCACCGTGGAGGTTTAGTCGAGGAGCTCTCAGAATGCAAACACCTTGCCTTGCAGGCTGAGGGTGAATCTGAGGGTGACAGCCAGGTCCACACAGCACCTGAGTGCAGAGGGTTGTGCTGGGCTTTGAGCACAAAGGCGTGGTTAGTGCACCGCCCAGCTTCTGGAGATCGGCCCTGTGAACCTGCAGTGTGGCTACATTGGGCCGAGCAGGTGGCTGGTGCTCCCTCTCAACCACAGACACTCAGGACTGCTGGTGGAGCGCCGCCCAGAACGCCAGGAGCAGCCCTTGCCCAGGCTGGAGGGTCTCCGAGTGCACACCTGGACTCGGGTACAGCTGGGCTTGAAGCCAGCGCCCACAGCTGCTCCCACACTGCCCTTCTTTCCCCCAGCAGAACCTCCAGCAGCTCTGAAGACTGCAAAGGGACAGAGCAAGAAGCATGATGTTGCTGCATTTTCTATTCCACTCTGCTCAACAGCAGACTGCTTTGATGGTCTTTAAAAATAAACAAGAGTGCTCTAATTTAAACTGCTATTATAATTTTCCTTTGGGACTGGACTAAGTGCCTCTTATCACTCGATATGGTCATTTATCCTAACTTCAATAGGTGTTTATACCAGAGATGTCTCTTGACACCTCCCTGACTGCCCCTCCAGTATGCTTATAGCCTGGCAAGCATCTTGCTGGGACAGGTGCAAAGGAAACACAATTTTTAGAACTGAGCATATCAAGCAGTGCTAGGAAAATGTATACATAATCTTCTCCAGTAGTACCTGGAGGGGCTTGCTGGGAGGTATATCTGTGCAGAGTTCAACAAAAGAAATAATTTTCAGCACATAGACAGAATTAGCTTTGATTTAATTGGACTGATTACTATTCCATGGGAGAACAGCTGCTGAACAAGAGGGAGGAAGAGGAGGAGGAATATAAAGCAGAAGAGGAGTCGGGGAGGAGGGGGAAAAGATAAAGCAGAGGAGGAGCGGGGAGGAGGGGGAAAAGGGACAAGCTGAATTGGAGGAAGAACACAGCAACAGCAAGGGAATAGATACCATCCTGAGCTTCAAGGAACTAAACCCCACCACACCTCTGAAAGGAAATATCCCAGTCTCATTGGCTACCTAGATATTGCTACTATTTCTTCACTGTACTGCCATAGTTAGAAATAATTCCACTTATGCCAGCTTCCCCCTGGGGGTGCAGCCTTTGGCAGTGTGTTTACGCATGCCCGGCTCCTGCTGTCAGGTCTAGCTAGGTAAAGCCACTTCTCAAGGCCACCTCTCCACCCATGACCGGTGAGGCACTTGGGATCCACTGTCCTGCTCTGAGAGCGTCCCAGCCGAGACCCCTTATCGGTGGGAAAACTTGACCTTCAGCCCACAGAGCATGTCATGGAGCAGGGGGAACAGAACTTTCTAACTTTAAAGTCAGTTTGGCTTTGTTGCCTTTGAAGTGAATGTTTGTACTTTGAAACTGTTTTGAGAACCTCTGTGAGCAGTGACCTGCAAACACAGATACTGAGGAAGTCTGGGACTGGAGTGTCCAAATAACATGGATAAGGACAAGCGAGGTGAATAATAATGACAAATGGCATTCATTGCTTAGGGTTTTCAGCTTTTCAATTGCAGTCCTTCCTTGCCCTGGGCCTTTAGTTTAGGGAAAATAGCACAGGTTTCGAAACTAGTAAAAATAAAAGAAATTCTCTTTCAGTCCTTGCTGTTTATCAACCGTGAGAACTTAAGCGCATTGGTTATGACTGATCTTTGGTTCCAGTGTGTGTAAAAGGGGCAAAGGCTATTACACAGGGTGTGTGGAAGCATTAAGTGTTCTGCAGTTATTTTGTTTTCTTCCATTTTCCAGATAAATAAACTGAGCTACAGAACAGTTAAATAAATTGTCCAAAGTAAAACAGCCAGTAAGGATTATATCTTAGAATTCAGGTCAGAGCAGGTAGTCAAGAAAGGTCCATCAGATTAGATTAGCATCATGCCCCTGTGACCCAGTCTCCCTCAGATATTTGCCTTTAGAACTAAAGGAGGGTGGTTTTCTATAATACCTTCTTAACTAGAGTAGGTTCAGCTTTTGTCTCAAAGAAACTTTGGAGAGGGCTGGGGATTTAGCTCAGCGGCAAAGCGCCTTCCTGGCAAGCGCAAGGTCGTGAGTTCGGTTCCCGGTGCCGGAGAAAAACCAAAAAAAAAAAAAAACTTTGGAGATAGGAGAATGACTCCCTGTTGCATTTGTCTTGCAGTCCTCACACTGTGGAAGTGACAGCAGAATTAACCCAGGATTACAGATAAATTCAGAAAAGCATTCATCATTGAGGCTCTTCATATAGTGTTTTGCAACCTAATCTTTATAAATATCCAATCAACATATATTTGTTGAACATGCACTATTTTCAGAACACTGTACTAAGTATCTTATTCTGGCAGAGGGCCAGTAGGTTCTGGAATAGAAAATAGACATTTCATATAGCACTAAGTGTCCTTCTCCGGAGGAAAATAAACAAGCACAGAGCTATGACAAGAGGTCCAGAGGCAATGTGACGATCTGAGGACTACAAATAAAATCACTTGTTTTGGCAAATGGAGTAGGTTCTAGACACTTGCCATAGTACTAGATGATGTTTATTCATACAAAAGGGCTTTATATCTCCTGGATAAAGCTTTCTATTATAAGGACATTATGTCAAATTCTGCTAAATAAAGTAATTCTGCCTTCCAAATGTACTTGATTTTCACTTTCAAAAGCCTATCTACTGTACATCTTTACACATTTCCCTCAAGACTTCATCTCCGGAACTATAGGGTAAACAACAAGCTGTGATCTTTATGGACTGGGGCTGGGGGTTGTGCCTCCCAAAGTGGCTGGCATACAAACAGTGGATTATAGTTAGTAACGAGTGCCAGCATGTGGAAACCACTGCCAGGAGGACTTCACATACATTGGTACATTTCTTTAAAATGAATCCAGCATAGTTAATTGTCAGTCACTAACCAAATGACCTATGGCCAGTTACTGAAGCACTTTGGCCTCAGTTCCACATCATCTGTAATATGAGAACTGTTACTGAGTTAACCCCCAGGGTTACTGTAAAGATCACTTGAGTTAATATTGGACAGTGTTTGGAACAGCACTGGCACATATGACTGTTCAATAAGCATTGACTAATATTTGTTTTTATTCTCAGAGAAGCTTTCAAGCCATAGGAGGAATCGGGATTTGAAGCCACACTCCTTAGCTCAAGAAACTTTGAC